TGAGCAGAGAGACTACTAAGATTAAGCAATCATATACTGAGTACCCATTTAAACCAAATGGTCTCTGCTTTCAAAGATTTTTAATAAATCTTAATATTAAAATGTTCCATCTATAGTATAATCTCTATTGTAAGCCCAAGTAGGTAGCTTGTATTAAAGACTATCTTCTTAAATTCATTAAAAATTTCATTTGACTAAAAGACTAATGAAATCATTTGTCAGTGGGTTGCAAAGTAGTGAATATGAATAAAATAAGCCATAAGGCAAAATTGTGTATGGCTTGTGGTACTAGTTGTATGATAACTATATCTCATATGCTTTTTTATATTAAGAAATTTTATAATTCTTCTTGGTGAAATGTTCTAAAGGGAGCTGACACGACAAGTGATTCTGTGCTTTTCAAATTTAGTGTACACTTCCATCGTCAGATCCCAGCTCAATCACAAGATTCACTTTCTGGGTACAATGGAAGTGTAGTCATATCCTTCCTATACAAACATTTTCTAAGCTATCACAACTGCCAACAGGTTTTCTTTTAAGTGGCAATAAAACTGCAGCGATGCACATATTTATTACTTTGAAAAGTCCAATGACGTGTTTGGCTTCTGTAATTAGCTGTCAAACTTTGGACGAGTAACTTAACTTCTGTGTCAATTTCCTCATCTATTAACACACAGGCAATAACAGTATCTCACATAGATATGAAGATTTAATGAGATAATTGAAAATTCCTATGATAATGCTTGGCATATAAATGCTCAATAATGTTACCTATCATTGTTACTAGCTAATGTCAGGGCTAGAAAAACTTAAGAGGCACACAAAGAATCTAATCCATGATTCTGGTCTCCTTAATATCATACTCTGAAAAATGGATCTAAGCAGCTACAGACTACCTATATAAAATTACCTATTTAAAAATTTCATGAAAGAAATTTTACTATATATTTTCTAAATACTAGAAATAGTTTAACAGTTTGATAAGGTAAAAAGTTTAGCTTAGTTTATATGAACACAAGACTACTCATAAATTAGACATTTGTTCAGTTCACATTCAATCAGTTGATAGTTATTTCTCTTCTTTAACTAATAAGTTGTCTAAAAGGAAGCCTAGTTCATAATATTTGCAAATGTAACTCTGGAAAGAGATGCATAATTATGAATATCCTGTTAACCTTGGAAGCCCAAACACAGGAAATTAGAATGAAACCTTTAGGTCCAGAATCAGTCAACTAATTTTCCAACGTAAACTCTGGCACATTTCAGATTTGTAGAATCTTTACTCTTAAATATCTAGGTTCAGCCATAAGTGTCTGCTCCCAGAAAGCTCAACTTCTTTTACCATCTCCTACTGTAATCACTCCCACTCTCAGGTAGATTTTGCCTAATGCTTAACAGAATATCTGAATGTCTACTACACACAAGGCTTTGGATATAATAAAAAGTTATTGTATTTTGCCCTTCAGAATTTTATAATTTAACTGAACACACAATTATAACTAAAACACAAATATCTAGCAGTAAAGTATATGATTAAAGCCATACAAATAATACAATAGACACTGCTCTAGAAGTACAGAGAAAAGGAGAGAAAATACTCTGGTGATCAGGCATGGTTTTATGGAAGAGAAAATACTAGAAATGAGCTTGATAAAGGAGAAAACAAACTGGAGAAGGAAAGGCAAGAATTCCAAGCTACCAATTAGCATGAGCAAAGATCCACTAAGAGAAAAGTATAGGGCGTGTCCCAGAGATGGCAAGTGTACCAGTTTGGTTGAAATAGATCAGTCCTGAGGTCCAATTATGGAAAGTGTCAAAAGCCAAACCAAGAATTCTGAAGTTTATTCTAGAAGCAAAAGAAGACACTAAGTATACTGAACAGGTAAATATGATGAAAATAATATTTTAGGAAGAATTTTATGATGTTTATAGAATGAGGGAGGGGGGAGATGCAGTACAAGATGCTGGTAGGAAAGACCAGTTACGAGTTCTAAAACCATGGTTTGGATATGAGGTAATAAGACCGGAACTTTTCCAATTCTTCAATTTTAAATTACCAGGACCCACATGCAAAGCTTTAAGGCCTTTTATGAAGACTCCTTATTTCTTCTGAACAGGAAGAAATGAGTTAGAATAATTTAGTTTTCTTACTTTCATCATTTACTATAGCAGTATCTTCTTGCCCATTTCTAATCATGACCTGTTAACTTCTCTTCAAAATACCAACCCTTGAATTTCCCTCACTTTTCTAGTCTGAATATTTGCCTTTGCTTTACTTTTTATCCTCTATTTAACCATCTACTCCTACCTAATCATTAAGTCCATGACTTCTCTCCAGCTTCATATAAATAAATCTACTCACACTCAACTTCCTCTTCCAGTACCTCTTAACTTTTAGTCTATTCATATACCAGTTCTATATACTCACAACCTTTACAACCTCTTCTAAAGTCTCTATTCACTTTCTGATAATTCTTATAGCTTCCAGGCTCACTGCTAAAACTATATTCAAAGACAACCATCTCACACTCATTAAGTCTCTATTCCCCCTCTAAGAATCTCAAGATTTCATATGTTAAGTAACAGCAGTCACCATATTTCTTTGGTACTTTCTTCATGGTAGAAAATGTCAAGTGCTTTGCACAATTATTTCATTTAATCTCAAGACTCCCTTATGAAAAAGCCTTTTCCATCTGACAGATAAAATTGAGTCTCAGAGAAATCAAGTAGTAACTGCCCAAGATCACCCCACTAAAATACTTTATCTTTTCCTCTCTGCAGCCTTCACTGTGGCTCTACTATGTGTACTCAGAACCATTTCTCTTAGTTCTTCATTAAGGATATCAACCATTTGCAAATTAACATTTGATTCCATTCCTCAATTTGAACAATGATAGCTAAAGATATAAAACTGTTTAGCTCTGCTGATTTTTGAAACTTTTGAATGAGAATATGAGTTTCTTAAATCTTTTTTGAATGTTTTAGAAGAGATCCTGGCATAAGAAGTCTTAACTAAATTTATAAAGACTCGATTCAAGGTATCTGGATCAGAAGTATTAACATCAGCTTTTCAAAATTTGACTATTAGGAACAAGAAGGCTCATCTAATTGGGAAAAACCTACTCGAATATTTTGAAAATAATTTTGTATCTACACAGATCTGATTCTGACATGTAACTTAGGTTCTCTAAGCCTACATTTCTTCATTTGTCAAACAAAGATAACATCATATATTTTAGAGAGCTGCGGTGAAAATTAAAGCCTGACACAAATAAATGGCCAATAAATTATGGCTTTTATTATTCATTTTCTTCTGATCTAAAAGTAGATTGGTCTCATAGGATTTTAATTCAAATCATATCAGCCACAAAAACTCATTTAATGACTTTCAAACAAGATCCTAAATACAAATATTACATAAACTTGGTCAATGGATTCCAAATAAACATATTAAGAATTATAAAACTCAAGCTCTATCCTGTATCATACATTTTACTCAAGAATGTTTAAAACAGTTCTAATTTTATAAACACAGTATCAATAGTCTACTTTATTAATATATGCTAACATCCAGTACCTTTCCCTCAGCTTCCTACAAAAATTGTAAAGTCTATTATATTTTAGATAAAGGTATATGGAAACTCTCACCTCTCATAACTGTTTATTTTTCTCTAGCTCCTCCTATCTGCCTCAGCAAAAGAAAAGCTAGGTAAAGAGATTATCTAGGTAGTACACAGATAGCTAGGACATGCAAAGGTCAAAATCATCAAGGAATATATCCTGAAGACTCATAATAAAATGTAAAATTGTTACTTGTGTAATACGGAGCACATTAGATATTATAAGGAGGAAAAGAATATTATCAACCTTTTGATTCAGATATAATTTAACCCAAGCTTCTTTCATATAAGGTGGTTAATAATCCCTGTGGAAATTCAGAGAATTTATACATCCTGGCTAATAATGAAATAACAAATGAAGCAACTGAATTTTTAAAATGTTGATATCAACATTATTTGAGATGGAAAAGAGAATATATTCAGATATAAAGTTACCCAAGGTATAGGAAAACAAACTTTTACCTACCTAGTTGCCTTATAACACATTCCCCCCACCCCCCAAGGTCCAAATATTTCACAGGGCCACACCTTGTTTTATCTTCTTGCTTAACTACTTTCTTCCTCTGATCTGATTAAGAATGAACAGTAGTCAAGAGTACCACTCAGGGTCGGGGCCCAGGCAAGAGTTAGATGATCATTAGGGGTGATCATCAAAATATTAGCTTTCAATGAATTATTTTTCCATGATCACAGACTTACACCTTAAGAAATTAATCCAGCTCTCTTCGGTGAGCATTTCAGGGATAACAAGCTCCCTGTGGACATAAGTCAGCCTTGAGTTTTAAATTATTAAACAGATTCATAGTTAAATCAGAATTGGTTACATATTCTATCAGCCATTATAATAAACGGTTCTAGGTGTAATCTGAACAAATTCAAAGACTGTAGGTTTTTAGTAACTGCTTATCAATATTTACCATATGACAACATGACGTTGCTATAGATTTCTGTGAAAAAATTAGGTATTACAGAACAAATTTTCAAAGGTTTATTAATAAGATAAGCAAGACCCAGCTGAACTGAAAAACCTTCACGTGTTCTTAAAATGCCTTTCACATCAAACTACCAAGGGTCCTGTGATTGTTCAAACGTGTAGTCTCAACCATCCTTTGTCTACTGTGGAATTTCTAGACTTCCCAATCTCAACAGAAAAAATCAATAAAAGCCACCTACAGGAATATCTTTCCTAAAGAACAATCACCAACTTAAAATTCTTTTAAATAAAACAAAACCTAGAAAGATAATCAGATTAGAATGCTGAAACATTTAAGTACATACTAGGCATTTGGTCAAGGCATACTGAATAAACAATGTCAAGAGAATTAAAAAAATTTAACTGGACAGTACATTTGATATTATAATCTACCCCTTTGGCTTTACCGATTTGTAAGCTGGGACTCAAAAGGTTAAAGGACTTGTCCATGGACACAGATATTTGGAGCACAGCCATGTCTAAACAATTTTTGTCTCCTAGAGCAGTGTTCCCTTCAAGTTTATACTGTAATTATGGTCATCACTTCAGCCTTTCAAACTAAAATATAAACAGATGCAATCCGTGTTAAAAATATATATACACACATATACATATATGCCATGTAAAAAAAATTTTGATGACAGTAGCATTCAATCATGTTATTTCTCATATACTGAGGTACCCAGCCAAACTTTACCAGTCTTAATATCTCTCCCATAATGACTTCACTAATATGAAAAATGTTTAATGATATCAAACAAAAAATGTCTTAAGCAACTTTCATGTGCAGTTCATTATAGTTCTGATGGGACTACTCCAACTTGCAAGTTAAAAGTAATCATCCCTACATGACTGAATGTTTAATCAGATATATGAGAGTTACACATAACATAATTATAACATCAGGCAAGGAATGTTACTTTGTGCTTCAACTTATTTACTGGCAAAGGAAACATTACATCAGTAAAGGTAACATCTGTGATTAGAAAACTGAAAGTGGGGTGGGTCACTAGTCAGTTTTCTAATCTGTAAAGAGTTACAGAACTATAATCTTAGAGAAAGGCTCAATATGTAAAAAGACAAAAGTATAAAAGTGAGGTTGTTTCAGTTAAAGAGTTGCAAGTCCTG